GATTGCAGTAAACCTCACTGCAAAGAGCCCTCACTTCCTGGGGTCAGCAAGCCCAGCTTCCTCAGTTGAGTGCCTACAGGCACCCCACTCATTAATGCGGTGTCCTGCCCCAAAGTGCTCACCCTAAACTTATTCCTAGGCTGAGTAGGAAATCCAACACTGTTTCTGGTTCTGCTACTCCTCTGGTATCCGAGCTGTCTGATGGATTCGGGAGAGTCCCTGCATGGGGAGCTGGGTTCCAGAGGCTATGGTTCACTCCTAGCTCCTGTGGGTCATCACAGAATCATGACTAAATGAATACATTGACTTGTTACTTTACCAGCATAAACTTTCAATCTGAGTAAAATTAATAGCATTGACTAGCAATCTATACCATGACAAATTCAAATAATTTTAACATGATTCTATGTCATTTTAAAATCATGCCACATATCTCTGCCAAAATAATAACAATGTTGATTTGTAAGCCAGGAAATAAAAGACAATATTTTATATTGCTATATTAAATATTAGTAGAATCTATTATGTGAAATAATCCTGATTTATAATGATCAGAGCCAAGACTATATCAGTTTGCAAACGTGTGTCTCTTTGTTTTCTGGTTCTATAAGTTAACTCATTCCTTTTCCTTGTTATTATATTAGTAAAATATATAAGCTTCTACATTTGATAAACTACATTTACCTGCATGTCATCGCATACATAAGAGTGCTGAGGTGGTCCCCATTCATAATAAGCACTTTGCCATACCATTTACTTCTGTTCTTTCACCAATTTTTATTTTTCAAATGTGTATGCCATAGAGTCTGAGATAGTTAAAGCTTATTGTGCCAACCTGGCCAATAAACACACGTAGGATTAATTGAAGGGCAGAGAGGTAAATGGCTCAGTGAGCCTCGCCTGCCTGGTTCTCGGATCTCTTGTTCTCTGATGGTCAGACCAGTGTGTGGCTGCCTTAGCTGGCAGGCTCACTTCCTGCAAGACAGCGCCAAGGAGAATCCGCATGGACTGACCCTGACGCAGCCCTGGGTGCTTGAGCAGCTGTGTGGAGACCCCTGCCAGCACTCAGATGCTTACACCGTCGCCACTGGATTCAAAGACTTGCTACCCACTGGCCTGTGATCCTCCTGCATCTGTGTCATTGTGGGTGTTTTGTGAGTTTGAGGAGGACTTTGCAGATCGGTGTTGGACGTATGAGCTAAATCGGACTTACGGGCTTGGAATGGACTGTGTTGGGATGCTTTCTGACTGTACATTTACCCTATATTTCAAACCCTTTCTTATATATATGAGTTTCTGTGAATTTGTTTCTTTAAATTACCTGGACTAAAAGTCATAATGAAAGATATAATGTATTATATAGTGATGTCAAATCTCCTAAAGGAAGATTAGCTTGTGTCAACCTCGCCTCCTAATAAATCAGATTCCTCCATTTATGTACATTCAAGACTGTACTAGAGAGAAATATTTGTAACGTTTCAGATACTTACCAGTGCTTAAATGTACATCAAGGTTCACATGTACAAACACTGTATTTACTCTAGATTTTACTTTCTTGATTTAAATATGATGTGGGAACAGACAGTTTTACTAGACAACCTTCCCCAAATCTACTTATTTTGTAATGGTTATTGGAAATTCAGGTAAGGATCATGCATTCAAAATTCCTATTCACTAAAAGATTGACATATTTTGAAGCCTTATCTTTCACACACGAATAACATCCTATGTACTCTGAAAAGAAAGTCGGTCTCCTACCAAGTTTCTATAATTTTTGCCAAAAATTGATACTCAATAAGCAGAAAGAAATGCTTCATCTGTTCTGTTTGTGCTCTATTTTTTCAATGATGCTTTGAGGATAACTTCGAAAAACTCTCTCCCTATTTATATGATGAATGTGAAGTTTTGTGAAGCTATTTCCTGCTTTAATAAATATAGTCCTGTTAGTCTATAGGAACATGTCATCAAAGGTATCCACATTTTTAATGAAATTACTATCATTCTTTCACACTGAGGACAATAGGGCCTGGTATTTTCCTCCTACAGTTTTGCTTTAGTGAAGTAAAAATGCCCTACCTTCAATCATCATCCAGTCTAATCCATTTTACAGAGTTTATATAATGTAGACTGCTGAGTGGAGAAAAAGAAATTCATTTAAATGTGTCAATTAGTGCATTTTCATGCAAACGCAATTATATAATCCCATAAACATTTTCTGTAAACTGCTCAATTAGCATTATTTTAGATAACTCATCTCCTGGAGTATAAATGATTTATTCTATTATATATGACAATCATCTGTCTCTCTTCTGTTCTGTAATTCATATTTGATTGGGCTTTTGATGTTCTCAGATATCCGTGGAATACAAGAGTTTTTGGACAAAGTATCTCAGCAGGGAATGGATGTTGCACTTCAGAAAGTAGAAAACAACATCAATAAGATGATCACCACTCTCTTCGCCACCATGAGAATCGAAGAACTGAATCGCTATCGAGACACTCTGAGGCGAGCCATTCTTGTTATGAATCCGGCCACAGCGAAATCTTTCATCACAGAGGTAAGTGAAGATGGTTATAGTTTGGGGATGGGGCGTAAAAATAAAATGCTCTTATCGTGGACCCCACAGAGGTGATGAAAATTAAGAGCAGTGGAAGGGAATTAACTTCAGCACTCTCATTACAGCTAATGGAGGTATCATGTTGAATCCCTGGCTCATCACATTGACCCCGTACTGTCCAGTTAATTGCTAGGGATGTTTGTGTTTATATATATTTAGGCACAGTTCCAAGACAATTTTAAGAAAAGTCTTATAGGAATGTAAAAGTTCTGTTGATCTGAATGGTTGTCACAAGCTCAAGAATGAATTCACAAATGCACTGTCATTTGTCTTAATATGTTTCTAAGTAAAAATTTTATTTCTTAGAAAAGGCTCATATGAAATCAATCTTATCACCTGAACATGCTTATTTGAATGAAACATAGCATATTTCCTTCAGTTTTATGAATTCTGTAACAAAACAAATAATTTAAAGTGTTTAAAACACTCAGGAATGGATGACCATTGTATTTTCTTCATGCTACACAGTGAAAAGGTTAGAAGCTTTTGAAATATTGGGGAAATATCATAAATAATTTCTAACCATTGGTACAACATTTCTGTGTTCTAAAATGTCTGCTGGTCCCTCGCAATATTTCTTGTTAAGTCATTCTTGCCTTTAACTTGGTAACCTTGTACAGTGATTGGCTTAGTCATGACATTCTGCATTTCGTCTAATTTTGTTGTTGTTCTTAAGAGTGAATTATGGTGGCTTTATTTGACTAATTATCTTTTCCTGTTTCTCTATTATGCTGACAGTAGTTCCTAAAGTGCTGCTGTAAAGCCTCTAAATTAGGAATGTGTTAGAAATTATTTGGCAGTCTATAACATGCACATAATTGGTATCAGGCAGGATAAAAATGACCAAGAATAAAACTTGTGGGAATCTATCAATAAAATCACATTTTATTTGGGGAAGAAATGTATTATGAACTTTAAGATCAAATAGAGACCTTTAACCTATTTCAGTGTAGCAAATGACTCAGAGATTCTCATTAAAGCAAAAGGATTTTTCCTTATAGACTGCTCCTCACTTTACAGAATCAAAGTCTTTCAAGACGCGCATAAATGACTAGAGGTTGAAGACAAGCGCACAAAAATATGTAACATGAATTGGAACTTTTAAAGGTGCAATAAATGAGGTGGGAGCTTTTATGTTAATTTTTGGCTAGGGAGTGCAGGGAAGGCTTTATTGAGACATAACACTTGAATGGGACTTTTTGGGGGATTGGTATGCTTTTGCAACAGAGAAATACTTTAGAATAGGCCATATGAGTTCACCTCATTTAATTTCTGAGCATGCAGAGTGGGTGAATTACTTGATATTTCTGTGCCTCCATTTTGCCCTCTGTGAAATGGGAGTAATAGATAGAATTTAACTTAAATTGGTAATACAGAGTAATGAGCGATCATGAATACAAGCATCGGACATCTAGTAGATAATAAAGCTTGGGGGCCTTTCAGGTACCATTTTCTAGCACACAGTATTGAATCTCACACCCAGAAGATGCTCCGTCTGTGGCCAACTCATATGAATGTCAAGATGATTAAAGACACAGACCTTCATCTTAACTTCAGACTAAAGCAGGTAGTTGTGCAGGTTACTAATAGTTATATATATATATATATATATATATATATATATATAACTATTAGTAACCTGCACAACTACCTGCTTTAGTCTGAAGTTAAGATGAAGGTCTGTGTCTTTAATCATCTTGACATTCATATGAGTTGGCCACAGACGGAGCATCTTCTGGGTGTGAGATTCAATACTGTGTGCTAGAAAATGGTACCTGAAAGGC